TTAGGGTATACAATACAGTTACATTCATCATTGGGACCTTTACATGACTTGGTTCTCATTTTTTTCCCCATTTCCCTGGCCTCTCTTCACCCCTTCCACCCTTCCCTATTTACAAAGTCCTTGCTCCCATTTTTTTCTTCTTCTCATTTTTTCTGTTCCCTTCTTACCCTTCCTCTACCCCTCCTACTTCCCCTGCATGCCCTGCAAGTTTTTATGTCCCACATGCAGCCAAGAAGCAAGGCTCAGCCAAGATAAGGTCAGACACCAAACAAGAGCATGAACGGTCTTGAGGGTGGTTGAAAATGGTGGCTGTTTCCGAAATTTCCAAGTCGCTTGTTGGCACTTTGTGACAACCGAAGTCCATGCCATTCTCATCCCCAGAGACCATGATTCAATTGCTCTGTGATACAGATTGTCATGGGATTTTGCCAACCTCTCCACTTGATTCTGAGATGACATCAAAGCTGCTGAGAACTACTGCCCCATTGAAAAAGATAACTAACTTTTTGAATACTTACTGGGTGCCAGACAGGGCACTGCATAGTTTTCCAGAATTAACCACTTTATTCATTTCTCCAAGTCCTCCTGTAAGATAAGCTTATCCCTATTTCACAGATAACACTGAGGGTTTAAGCCTTTAAGTCTGTAGGTAGAATTTGATTCCTCATCGATTTAACTCAAAAGCCTATGCCTTTTGCACTCAGCAGCCTTCTCAGAGAACCCGGAATTTGGCAAAATAAATACTCAGATAAATTCTCCAGGAGCCTACATAACAGATCCTCTCATTTGCCTACTTATCTGATTAGGCATCTTTCTTGTCTTCTATGTCATTTGTGCAAGAAGGATCAGAAACTATTTTATTAGGGACTTTGAATTTCAAAAGAGGTTTGGTTAAAGCATCCAATCTCCAAAGCCTCCAGGTGCCATCCTGGCAAGGACAATCCCTGTGCCAAACACTCCTGCTCTTACAAAGCACTCTTCAAGCAAGGATCTCAAAGCACAATGTAATTAATAAAATCACCCTCATCCTGTCTAGAGTAGCGTTTTATATGTACAAATTCTCTCTGCCCCCAGGCTCTCTGAAAGAACATGAATGTTTCCAATTTTGAAGAATGAGCAATAGAGTAATTGAAAGGAGCTGTATTTTGGGCAACTCCAAAGACCTCAAAGGCATTTATAGTGACCTATATGAGAAAACATGGCAACCACAAAGTGTGCCATAATGGCTTGTCAACCATACTGTGCTAATGACTGGTTCAAAGATAGAAAAGACAGGGTAAAAATAAAACATTCAGCTCTTACAAGTCAGATACCTCTGGAACTGATGTTATGATCTGTTTGGTCAAGTCTCCAAAGGATCTAGAAGCAGTGAAGAGGTGACATTAGCTGATGATCCAGTTAGTTGGGCTAATCAAAGCATAGGGGGCAGAAGGGGCCAATTTAGTAGCTAGGCAGCCCAGTGATAGATGAGACATTATAGGCAAGTGCAAAGATAATGCCTTTGGGACAAGCAATTTTAGTCATTTGTGCACTTCCAGGCCAGGAAATCCTTCTAGTCTTGAGGGAAACATTTAGGAATCATCAGGCCCAGCCTGATGAAGTCATTTATTCATTGTGCAACTAACGATCAACAAATGAGCCAAACACACAAGGGGATAGGACATATGGAATACATTTTAGTGCCTGGGATGTCTGTGCCTTCATTTCAATCACCTTTATAACAAATCTTATCACAGCCTTCTTTTTCTTCTGTCTACCTGTTCTCCTATGTTCTTATTTCTAAACACTATCTTTCAGTGTATGGTGATTTTTTTTAACTGAAGGCAAATATTTTCTTTCCCATTTTCTAGTTTTGTACTTCAAATATGGCCTTCTTTGTACAAATAAAGGTCTCCAAGGAACACTTCAGCATGTTTCGAAACACTTTGCTAAGTAGCAAGAAGGCTGGGTCTATGTGACAGAATTTATACAGATGGTCCTGCACCTCTCAAATCCCTCATTTATGTTGTAAATCCAAGTTGGAGGTGGTGTATATTGTTAATTTTTGAAGGAGGTGGGAAAGAAAGGAAAAGGACCTAAGCAGTATAAAGTAAATCACACTTAACTACCTGTTTCTTTTAAACCAACTTCCCTTCCAGAAACCCCAAAATAATGGTTATCAATGACTGCCATATTGATAGATCCAAAGAACTTTCTTCCATCTCCTGTATCTTCTCCCTCTCTGATAGCCCATTTTTTCCTGCCTTTTAGGGTCATCCTCCTCTTCCCAACCAATAAATGTTGGATTCTTCAGTCCCACTAGGCTCATTCTCCAAACTTTCTAAAACACACTTCCGTATTTCCAGTCTCATCTTTCTTCACTCTCAAGCACATCTGGCTCAGTTCTCAGCCACTCTCTTCTACAAACCACAGCACCACTAAAGTTGTTTTCTCTACCTGGCATGCTTTTCTGTTACTTTTTTTTTTATGCTTAATACTTGCTCATCCATCATATCTTAATTCACTCATCGTTTATTGGCTTCCTCATATTTGGCCCAATTTCCCTAATGTGAGCTCTTACAATACCTCATAAAATACCCTTATGATACTCCTCACAATTGCAGTTTTATAGGCATTCGTGTGATTGTTTGATTACTGTGTATCTTAGCTACTAGACTGTAAACTTCTCTCTCTGTAATACTTTCTTTTCTAATTTTTATTAGTATATGTTTGGGGTTCTTAATGTTTGCATCCCTTGTGTGAAATCGGTACGTGTATATTGCACATATTAAATCCTTTTTTCATTCCCTGTCCCTCCCATCCATTCCTCCTCCCTCTATCTCTCAATCCACTTACCACCAGAAGGAGATTTATCTCCCTACTTCCTATTATCTATGTTTTATTTTGTTTTTTATTTATAATTTGAGCTTCTCATGTAAGAGGAAAAAATGATAGTTAATCTTGGGTGTCTGATTTATTTCACTTAGTATTATAGTCTCAAGGTGCATCCATTTTCCTACAAATGATTTATATTTATCTGTCTTTATGAGAGAGTAGTACTCCATTTTGTGTAAATCCAACACTTTTTCTATCCATTCATCTATCAATGACATATAGACTGCTTCTTAGCTTTAGCTGTTATGAATTGTACTGCTTTAAACATGGATATGCATGCATAACTGTAATATGATGTCCTTACGTCTTTTAGAAAGAAGGTCAAGTAGAATTTCTAGTTTGTTTGTTTTTCTTTAGTAATCTCCATATTGATTTCCATAATGGTTGCACTAGTTTACATTCCCACCAACAGTGTACAAGGGTTTCTCTTCCCCACCGCCTGGCCATCATTTGTTATTTTTTGATTTACTAGCGATGACCATTCTTTCTGGGATAAGTGTCAGTGTCATTTTAATTTGTATTTCTCTAATGACCACTGATGTCAAGTATTTCTTCGTGTGTTTATTAGCCATTTGTACTTCTTCTATGAAGTGTCTATTCATTTCACTTACCCCTTTTGTTAGATTGAATCTTTTATGTTGGAAGATCTAATTTTTTTAGTTCTTTCTATAGCCTAGGTATTAGTCCTCTGTTTGAGGAATAGGTGGCAATTTCTTTTCCCTTGTATAGGTTGTCTTTTCACTCGGTTGGTGGTTTTGTTGTTTGTTTGTTTGTTGCTGTGAAGAAGCTATTTAATTTGATATGATCTAATTTGTTGATTCTCAAGTTTTCCTGTGCAACTAGGGTTCTGTTCTGAACAAAAGACTGTAATAATCCCAGGTCATGGCCTATCATTGAATCAATAATCAGCAGGATGGAATATTCCAACTGGCCAGGTCTGGGCCTCATGCTGTCCTTGTAGCCAAGAGGAAAGGTAGGGCCAACCTTACCTAAATGTCATGGAAGATACTGAATGTAAGAAGCCCACTGCTCAACCCTTTGCCAAGGCACACACTGGGACCATTTTTCTAAGAAGAAACTAGATGGCCACAGTTGACATGTTTACTGAAATTTTTGCCTTTTTTCTATCTGGAGATTATTCCTAATACCCAAACTATTTCTACAGCAGGATCTCCATTGAGTTTGAATGAATACCTGACCAGTCACATCAGAGGAAAGATACAAACAAGCAATACTACTGTAGCAGCACATTCTCAATAAGTAACATCCCTGCATTAAATGCAAAAGTTGAATGAATTTCTAGAGGGCTTAAATGTTCAGATCGCTCATTCCCATCAAGGAAAGACCCTCTAATTGTGGCAGGCCTGCTTTATTCAACTGCCCACTTTGAGACAAGCCTGGAGTAGGGAGGTGACATCAGAACATTTTCTTTTTCATTCCCTTTGTCATCTCATGTACGTGACTCCTGCATTAGGAATCACACTTGCGACAAAGGATACATTTTTGAGCTGAAGAACCAGACACCGCGATATGGATACAAACTACTTGGTTTGTCCTTCTATTTTGGGCCATCACTTTTTATGGCTATAAAAAGTAGAGATCCCAAGTACTCTCTCTACCACGACTCTACCATAAAGCATCCTACTCTCACCTGGGACGATCTTTCTCCAGGGATGTGCTACTTCTTCGGATTCAGTTTGGGCGGTTTCTTTTGATTAGAGATGTGGACGAGGGTCAGTTTAAGGGGGCAGCTGATTTTGGCTAACAGCATTTAACAACTGCTGTGATGTGTGCCTTTGCGTATGTGTGTAAGCAATATGTACTTCTTATCACGCTTCCTTCTCCCAAATCAATGTGTTTAAAGCACTCACCACTGACTATACATAGTAGGTACCTCCTCTGCCTCCAAGTGGCCCAATGACCTAACTGACTTTAGTTGCTCCTGCCCCATTCCATCTTCCAGACATAGGATATCTGTTTACCAGGAGACATATCCCTGCCTTATTTCAACCCCTTTCCAGCTAATATGGATGCTTATAGAAAGACTTAGAAATGCTTGCCAGGTGAACCTGACTTTTGCTTTCCCGACCCGAATGGGACTGAATTTCATGCCTGTCTCATTTCAGGGTTGCAGAGACTACAACAGCTTGCAGCAAACACAAAATACTTCAGACAATCACTGAAGAAAATGGGATTCATTATCTATGGCAACGATGATGCTCCTGTTGTTCCCATGCTTCTTTACCAGCCTTGTAAAGTAGCGTAAGTATTCAGATTCCCAGAATCATGCCTAAACCCCAAGTGACCTATGGTGATGCTTTGGACACCTTATGGCTTTTCTACACAGGCATTAGATTATGTACTTGAAGTGGGTGCTTAGATTCAAAATTCACTAGCACAGCTTCTCAGTAGCCACCTGTCAATCATCAGCAGGACTTTTTGCACATGTTTTAGAAAAAAAAAAAAAAAGGAACCAGGCTGTAAGACCCACTACTCTCCCTGACACCATTTTCTTTTTTTTTTTTTCAGCTTTAATTGAGTTTATTGGTACATTTTAGGGATACAGTACAGTTACATTCATTGTTGGGATCTTGTACCTCTACATGACAAGTCTTGATTCTCATTTTTTCCCCTTACCTCTGCCCTCCCTTCACCCCCTCCTCCCCTCCTCATCTACAAACACTTTATTTTCATCTTTTCATTCTCTCACATTTTTTTCTTTTCCCTTTTTACTCTTCCCCTACCCATCTCACCTTCCCTACACCTTTAGCTTCTTTCTTCCCATTTCTAAATGTCAGTAATCTTATTAGAATCTTATGCATTTTTGCAGATTATTCACACCAGGGAAACTATTCGGTATTTACACATGTGTGACTTATTTATTTCACTTAGGAGTATATCTTCAATATGTATCCATTTTCCTATGAATGAATCTATTTTCTCGTTCTTTATGGCTGAGTAATATTCCATTTTATAGAAAAACCACATCTTCTTTATCCAGTTTCCAACGGATGGGCAAATGGGCTGTTTCCAAGATTTAGCTATTACAAACTGTGCTGCTATAAACATGGGTGCACATTCTTCTCTGTGATATGATTCTTTTAGTTCTCTTGGAAAGATACCCAGCAAAGGGGTGGCTGGGTCAAATGGAACCTCCAGTCCAAGCTCTTTGAGGTATCTCCATTTTGATTTCCACAGTGGTTGCACCAGTCTGCACTCCCACCAACAATGGAGAAGGGTTCCTTTCTCCCCACAACCCCGCCAACATTTGTTATTGTGTGATTTCTTGATAGCAGCCATTCTTTGTGGTGTGAGGTGGAATCTCAGTGTTGTTTTCATCTGCATCTCTCGAATGACCAGTGATGTGGAACATTTTTTCAAATATTTTCTTGCTGCTTTTACTTCTTTGTCTGAGAAATGTCTGTTCATTTCGGATGCCCATTTTTGAATCGGGTCTTTATATTTGGGGGGACTGATTGTTTTGAGTTCTTTTTCAAGCTCAAGAAATTTGGCAAAATCACTTATGCCAACTATAAATTAAAGATGATCCTGAACCTCCTGCTGGCTGAATACCTTTCTCAAAAAGAACTTTTGAAAACCATCTCTCCCAAAATTACCATTAAAATAAACAGAATCAGTAACTTCTCCCATCAACTCTTATGGTTGTCCTTTAAACAGGGAGCCTCATTTTATGTGTGGGGAAGCTGGGGCTGAGGGCAACTGAACAACTTCCCCACAGTCCTGAAAATCAAACACTAGTAAAAAAATCAAAGAGGCAAATCCCCCAAACCTAGGCTCACTCCAAAGTTCATTCTCTTAACACCAAATTTTAATGCTGTTGGAGTAAGTCTATTTTGTCCTGTTTTCCACTAACTGCAACTCTGCAACTGAGCATTGTATAGAGGAAAAAACTGACTGTTTCTTGGTTATAGCACAATTTCATAAAGGGACAACTCTCTAACCTATGAGATACTAATCACTTCTATTATTAAAAAGAAGTTAGCTAACCTTTTTCAAATATAAAATGTTTATTGGTTTATTTGGCCAAGGACATTAGTAATACTCAAAATAATATTTCTCATTGGATAAAGATGTGGTTTTTCTAATAAAATGGAATACTACTTAGCCATAAAGAATGAAAAATTAGAGTCATTCATAGGAAAATGGATACATATTGAGGATATACTCCTAAGTGAAATAAATAAGTCACACGTATAAGTACTGAATAGTTTCTCTGGTATGAATAAACTATAATAGTACATAAGATCCTAATGAAATAATTGACAATGTGAAATAGGAAGAAAGGGGCTAAAGGTGTAGGGAAAGTGGGAAGTGTAGGGGAAAGGTAATAAGGGAAAGAAAAAAACAGGAGAAAATGAAAAAATGGAAATACAATGTTTGTAAATGGGGAGGAGAGGAGGGGGTGAAGGGAGGGCAGGGACAAGGGGAAAAAATGAGAATCAAGACCTGTCACATAAAGGTACAAGATCCCAATAATGAATGTAACTGTACTGTATACCTAAAATGTACCAATAAACTCAATGAAGAAAAAATAACAATAATAGTATTTCTCAAATTCTAGAAATCCTAACTCCCCTCCAATGTAATCCCATTCTGTTTGACCCTATAACAGTCTGAGCCAACAGGTAATGTTTTCAATATAGAAAAAAGTTTCAGTAAAAGAGGTTTGGGAGCCTAGTGGTTGAGAATTCATAAAGGCTAAGTTATAAGTTACTAAAAGACTGAGTCTTTGAAATATCCTCCTATGCCATTCCACCCCAGCAAAATAAGAAGCTGTAAAACACATACATAAATTGCTTAGCATGCCAGCACCACCACTTGGCCCTAAAGTGCTCCCTGACAGAGAATCCCAGGAGATGGAGTGCTACAGAAATGGCACATACAATACCGCTCTACACTAACCGTAGAGGGGTGATTTCAAGCAGCAGATAATATAAGTCCCTCTCCCATCTGATTTTGGCAGGCACAAAAGAACACTCACATTTACTCAAAGTGGGTGGGGAAGTGATACGTTTAGGAAGGAAGATTCTAAACTTAACTGATATCTACTTAGTTTTTTAACATTAGCTCAAATAAGAACCCAAAACAAATTCATTTAGGTATCTAGTGTGCATTACTAGAGAGGAGGCAGGAAAGAGTGTACTGCACAGTTCTGACTTTGATGATGGAAGCTAGAGTTAGAAACTCAACAGGGTGGAAAAATGAGACAACCCAATGAGAAGAGTTCATGATTAGTAACAAGAAATGCATTTTTTACTGTATTTATTTTTAATTGATACATAAGAATATGAAAATTGTACATATTAATGGGCTACCATGTGATGTTCCAATATCTATATGTTTGTGTAATATTTAAATCAGACTAAATATATCTATCTCCATAAACAGTTACCATTTCCTTAAAATATTCAAATTTTTTTCTTCCAGCTTCTTCACATGTACATAATATAATCATTATCTATAGTCACTGGACTATGCCATAGCATGCCAGGACTCCAAATGCATTTTAACTCAAGGATTCACTAATACAATATGTGTCACATAAGAGTCATACTCTACAGTGTAGTGAGAAGTTTGGAATCAAAAAGAACTTTGACTCAGCCTCTTACCAACTGAGGAATCTTGGACAAGTGACCCAACCTTTGGAAGCCCCAGATTATCATGTATAAATTGAAATATAATAGGGTTTGTTTCCTAAGATCACTGCAAGGATAAGGCCTCTATAGTATTTGACATGTTGCCTCTTACACAGGTACTACTCAAGGTTAGCTGTGGCTAGTAATATTAATAGTGTGTATGAAGCATTTAAAATAATACTTGGCATACTGATAGCCATTAGTGATGGTACTACTATCACTCCACTATGACAGTTATTGTTATTAGTTTCAGCTGAGTACAAATTTGAGTCACCATAGTTACATGGCTCTCCAAATAATTATTGAAATCTTTGGTTACATTAATAAAAATAGAACTCTCAGAAGAGTAATAGGTAAAGATCTTGCTACATTCTGAACCAGTTACACAATATTGGACACTAGGTGATATGTTGAACTGTCTTGTTCTGTCCAGTTTAAGATCATTTTTCAAGAGATGCTGTTTGAGTAACCTTTCTCATTGCTGAGACAAAGTACCCAACTCCCAAAATTAAAGGAGGAAAGGTTATTTTGGCTCACAGTTTATAGAAGTTTCGATCTATAATCAGCTGGCTCCAAGGCAGGATGGCATGCCAGAAGGGCATTGCAGGAGAAACAATTCATGGCAGGCAGAAGGCAGCAAAGCATTGAAGTAGCAAGCAACAAGCAAAAACAGCAGCCCTCTTTCTTCCCTTACATCCCATCCAATCCCTGGGCACTCAACTCCCAGGGTGGGCCTTTCCATTATCTACACCCAGAACTATGCCAAAACAATCAATGGATTAATTTAGTAATCACATAGCATTAATCTCAGCATCACACACTCTAGATCCAGTCACCTGCATGAGGCTTTAGGGGACATCTAGACACAAATGGTAAGAGATGCTAACATTGATGAATTCTGATTACACGCTAAATAAGTCTGTTTGACCTCAGCAATCATGCACTGTGTTTGAATGCTTATCCCTACTTTACAAATGAGGATGCTGAGACTTACAAAAGTCAAACTACTTTCTAAGGCTCACATATATTGTAGGAACAGAGCTGAGAATTCAAAGCCAATTCTCTTTACCTCCTATACCTGAGCTCTTTTAAAAACACAACACAGCCTTTCAAGCTTCAGTCCATAGAAGGAGAAATGTGCATCTCATTAAAACAACACATTTAATTTAACTTCCTTGCATGTCATCTTTGGTGATTCAAAAAGCATCAGTCACTATGACAGAAACATTTGAGTTGCCTAAGGAAACAATAAAACAGGTTAGTTAGAAAGTGCAATAGCATCTATTGTTGGTAGAAGTTGCTGGCAAGAGCTGGCTCTGCTGCCTGGTTTCCTTAAGCCAATATAGAAGTGCTTCTTTCACTCACATATTAAAATTTTTTATATTATTTAAAAGTTGTGTTTCTCTACATTCCTACCCGTATAGAATGAAAAGAGAATTCCTAGCCCAGTATCCTTGTCAACACAGTCCTGTTACAGCACTGTCATTGGAATCATCAAGGGAGTTCAACAGAAGATGTCTGTACCCATAAAATATGCAATTTGAATAATCAAGAATAACCAGATGTGGGGGCAAATGTCTGTAATCCCAATTCTCAGAAGGCTGAGGCAGGAGGATAACTGAGAGTTCAAGAAGGTCAGCCTGGACTACATAGTGAGAACCTGTCTCAAAAAAAAAAAAAACACCCCCCCAAAAATAAATAATGTATTCTACTTAGTGTGTGGTACAGTGTTTACATTTTCCTTCAGTGACCCTTATACACTTGGAAGACACAGGTACACAAGACACAGTGATGCTACATGCAGTTCTAGACTAATGTTCATCATCATCATCATCATCATCATCATCATCATCATCATCATCATCTCACTTTGCTTAATTTCTTCCAACCTCAGCCAGCTCTAATTTGCTTTGGGGAGTGCAAACCTGGAAGCTAATTACATAAAATGTTCAGTGCAATCATATACATTAGCTTAAGGCTGCTAGCTGTAGTAGTATAAGTTTCAAATTCAAAAGTACTCCAAGGAGGCCCAGATTAACCTAATGAATCAACAGAGCTATATATTTTGCTCTACATTCTTTGGCAAAACTTGCTTCCTTTGGTACAAAGGGACATGCAGACAGTGAAAACCATCTGCTGGGAGCCCTGAACACTGGCCTGAGATCATAGGTCTGGTGGTTTGTACTTCAGCAATAAAAGCACTTGACTTGTTTCTCAGACAATTATGAGCTCTCATCCTGTGCAGTGTCGTGGGCAGCCTTCCATAGGGTGATCAAGAAGGAGAAAGAACAGCGTCTGTTTTCAAGTTTTCTCAGCTAGAAAGCTTCATCGCCTTGTAGCCATCCCAGTTGAAATCAAAGAGAAAATCTTGTCTTATCTAAGCCAGGGGGCCAGGCAGCCTGTGTGTCTGGTAGGTCTCACTGCCTCCACAGCTTCACTTGATAACCTGAATTCTGTGTGAGGCAATCTAAGGCAGACCAGTACACAGGAAGGCAGATGAATGGACAGGCAGGCTTACTCTTCATGTCTGGTTCAAGAATTCATCCTGAGTTAAGACTGCAACACTACTGTGGCACTGTCAGCTTTCAGCCTAAAATAATACACCAGCAACCTCATAACGCTAAGAACAGATCTAAAGCATTTACTTCACTTGTGGATACAGCCACTCTGTAATTAAGGTTTCCTGCAGAGAGCAACTGAGCCCAAAGAGGGGAACGACTCACTTGGGGGTATGTGCCTTGTTATCTGACCTTGGCTTGCAGCACAAGCAATTTACAGACTTGGAGCTCAATATTCCAGACTCTTTTCTGAAATTAGCTATGGAAAAGAAGAAAGTAGAAGGATAAAGGGAAGGAGTCACAGCTTACAAAGGTTTTCCTCTGCATGAAAGAGCTTTGTAGTCATCGGACTTACAGTCTATCTGCTGTGTCTGCCCATTGCTTGTCTGCAGATGCACAGCTCTCCTCTGCTTTCTTCCTGCCCAATTCACCTTGAATGGAGTCGGTGGGTTCATTATCCTTGTATATACCTTGGTATGTTCATTCAAACATTCTTAAAAATGATGAGATTCTTGCTATTTCTTATATGTGACTCGAAATACAAACTGTGGTCCTAAAGTAAGAATATTGACTTGCAATTGGATCCTACGGACCAAGTGTAACTATCACTAAGTATGACTTCCTGAAATGTCCATGTTATATTATTGGTATGAAGTTTTAAGAACATAACAGATTTCCATTTGAGACATATACATGCTTTGTTATGTAACTGTATTCTATTATCTGTTTATTATTCCTAGGGAATCGTAGACGAAAAACTTTGAATCAGTGCAGACTTGTTCAAACAGAGTCATTTACACCAGCAGTTTTTGCTCAGTCTCAAAGATGCAGTACCCACAATCATCTAATGATCATCTCAAGTCCATAATACTACACATTCAATTATGAAGGATATTTCTTTGTCACCCCTGCTTGACAGAGTTTAATAACTTTAACCATACTCTATCATAAAAAAGTCAATTATTCATCTTCTGTTTGGGGGGCAAGATAATTCAGTCTTCTATTAAAACTTTTTTCCTTTTCCTCAGGGCTTTTGCAAGGCATATGTTAGAGAGAAAAATTGGGGTGGTTGTCGTTGGATTTCCAGCCACTACACTTGCAGAAGCTCGGGCTCGGTTCTGTTTATCAGCAGCACATACTCGGCAGATGTTAGACACAGTGAGTATCCCACAGGCCAACAGAATCTCTCATATTGCCACCTTGGATTCTGAGCAAGTGCTTTCATAGAGCCAGCTTGGGGTTCTCTGGGTTTCTCAGGTGGTTAAGGGACACAACAGTAATGACAACTAAAATTAACTTCTAAAACACGGGGTACGTCAGCAATACCCAACAATATAATACACTCAGTGGATAGAGGAAAAAATTATTTTAGTGGAGACTTTGAGTCTGGTCAATATTTTGGCTTCATAGAAGTTGACTGAGTAGCCAAATGTACTATTTGCTTGTTCTGAAATGCAAAAGCTGATCAGACATGTTATTTTAGCTTCAACTGCCTGTGTTCTGATATTTTTCATAGCATAATCACGCATAATAAAATAAGATCCAGCAAAGCATTCTATAGAAAATCAGCAAGAGCAGACCTGTAACAAATCAGCCCAACTGATAGTTACTGTAGTTCAGGAAAATGAGGGATCCTTAAGCCAAAGGCAGAGAATGTAACTGTCCAGAAACAACTGAGAGTGAGCAGGCCATGGACAGACTCCTGTGGAGATCCAGAGTACAGGGATCACAGGTGGGAGCTACATAGACTTAGGTGGAGCTAGAATCATCAGAAAAAATGTGGGCTAGTGTGGTGTTATGCACAATAGAGGGAGAGAGAGTTTCAAGGAGGAGGAACATAATGTCCCAAAAAATTAAAGAGTAAGGCAGAGATAAGAAATTATTGGGTTGACAATTAGTGAGAGTTCGATGCTTTTTAGAGTGGGCAGTTTTAGGTTAATGTAGAGAACAGTAGGAAAATAGAAATACAAAGAATAAGAGGACAGATAACATATCTTAAACTAGAATTAGACAGAGAGAGAGAGCCCATATTTTATCTTCTTTAGCTATGTAGCTTCAGGACTAGCTGATAGTAGTTAGTGTATGGTAGGTACCAATACAAATATATTGAGTGACACATTAACAACTGGAGGTCTTGAGATGATAGTGAACTCTTCTGTTTTTCTTTATATTTTTTTATTTTCCAGGTTCTCCGAGTCTATGTTTCCAGTATATAAGTGTTCATAAATTGCTTCTTTTAAATAGAGTGGACTGCTGATAAGAAAGAGTAGGCACTTCTTTTCTAAGTGTGTAAAGTCAAGATTAGGTTCAAAAGCCTTTAAAAATGGGTAAAGACTTGCCCATGCTAACACACCCAAGGAAGAAGACAGTGAAGAGGGGTCCATACAGGCATGGAAGAGAAAAGGACATGGGTAGGGAGCAAGCTCCCAGAGCTTGCAGTAGTAGACGGACAGCAAAGAAGAATATATAGTTTTTGTGGTTTACACAGACTGAAGAACTCAGGTATATTCAATTCTGTGGATATCAGATCTTGTGATTTTCCTCACAAGTTCTTAGTGTTATGGAATACATAGTATAAAAGGCCGCTAAGACTTCACCTAGACAGATGCCTCTTAACTTCTGAGATTGTGCATCCATCTTGATTTTTTTAAATTGAGCAGTTCCTTAGTTGAGAAAGTAAAACAAGCCTGTTGAACATCCGGGTCGTTAAGGTAGCAACTGAGTATAAATGCTCTCAGGATATAAACAGTACCAGACAAGGGCAATGGGAGACTTTTTGGAGCAATTGTAACAGACAAAGGCAGTTTATCACCTCCCTTTCCTGACTATAGGCGGTTCCTCCACCAAGGACAGCTCTACCTTCTCCTTCATCTTTCCACCTCCCGATAAAAGTTTTAAGTACTTAAGAGCCAGTGAACTACTGTCACCTTCGGACAGCATCCAATTCAGAACTGCTCTCTGCTTCCTTAAAATCTCCAGCCCAAGCAAATTCAGTAAGAATTCCCTCCCAAGTTCCTGTCACTAAGTTACCCATGACCCTAGAATATACTTTTCCATGCTGCAACAAGCTAAAAAAAGTTATAAGCCTCATTAACCATTCATTTTAATGTTACATTACCTTCTTCAGAGTAACGGATCCTAATACTGTCTTCCGTATTTGACAAATTAAGAAAAAAGGCTCAAAGATTAAAAAGATGTACCAAATAGCATAGGATTAGTATCCATACCAGTGGATATACTAGAAATAAAAATTACATTTTTTTGACTTTCTGAATCTCTGTTGTTTCATTTGTAAAACTGAGAATACATTTAACACTATAGAAGAGAATTGAAACAAGTGCAGTCTTGGTCCATTGCGAGTTCAAGTTCTGTTATTAAATGGTATGCAGAGATGTTTGTTTTAAAATGAGGGGAGTGTGGGACAGTTGAGAATGATGCTAATTGGCCACCACAATGTTTCATTTTGTTCTTGGCCAGGCTGGTTTACTAAAAGACATGGTTCTTTATGGTTATAAAGATATAACCTCACATATATTTTGCAACCTTATCTGTTTCTTCCACAAGTTTATATGTAAGTCTCTGAATCTTAAAATAAATTCTTAAAGGGTTTAGATAGGTCAGATATTTTTATTTCTTTCCTCCCATTCTCAAAATGAAATAAACATTCAAAATGTGGAGTTAGACCATTAAATAAAGTGAATTAGCATCTCACATTCCTCTAGGGTTTATCAACCACCACCTAATGATATGGATCTTGCTCCTTTTCTTTAAAAATCAAAGATGCTGGCAAAATAGGCTGAGTCTTTGTGAAGCTTGCCATTAACTGGGCTTTGCAATGCAGAGCCACATAGGGGTTTAAAGATAACTGATGGAAGGCAATCTCCTTGCAGGTTTTGGAAGCCATTAATGAATTGGGTGATCTCCTGGCTTTGAGATATTCCCGGCAAAAGAAGACATAACACTCTGTACTCTGATGGAACCAGCTTTGAACTTGACAAATAAGATTCCTGGTCCTGAATGAAACATGAAGACTTTTCCAGAGAGATCTCCTCCCTCACCTCAGAAAGAATATAGATGGAATTCTCCCCCTTTCTAAGGACAATTTTTTTTTCCAGGTCAGCTTAATTGAACTGAGGGATATTGTGTTTTTATGTCTCCAACTTGCAACTTCAGAAACAAAATTACTGTTATTAAGTTTCTTCTCTCCCAAGTATCCGCTAGAAATGGACACACACACACACACACACACACACTTCTAAGAGTGTTTCTGATGACAGTGAGCCTGTTTTAGCTGCTACTGTGTAGCCTCCCGGTTCTAGCCAAATGTGGGGATTTTGATTGTTAACAATAATCGCACTATGAGTTTACTTATTTGATCAGCAGGCATGGATAATAATGGTGGAGAGTAGCTGACTTTCTTGTCCCACTTATAAAACTACCAGCTACAGTTCATCTGCATCACAGTAAGTTCCAGGCAGGAGGGTAAAAAAAATGTTGCTTTGGGCTGAGAATTTAGCTCAGTGGTTCTGCCGCCTGCCTTGCAAGCGCAAGGTCTTGAGTTCTATCCCTGGTACCAAAAATAAAAGAAATGTTGCTTCTACCATTTGCCACAATTTGGACTTTTTCCAAGGGTAAGTGTCAAAAGACACAGTTAATGTTTCCAGGGAGAAAGCAGAACTGGCCAGCACTGAGTAGAGAAGGAAAGTTTCCTTTTCCTCCTGCTGTTCTCCTACAGTTTTACAGCTGAGCCTTGGAGGTTTAGAAAATCCAAGACTCTTGTTTCATGAAGCAGGAGGCAGAAACCAAGCATAAGCCAATTTCAGGCCTAGACTAAAACTGTAAAATTATAACTTGAATGTTGTTGGTGCCATGCAGAGTGAATGTTAAATATTACGTGGCTTTCATGACTTTAAGGAATGAGTTGCCATTTGCCTACTGAATTTTGAGTAAATGATGAGGCTCAGTTTCCTTTAGAGCTGACTTCCAAGGGTATGCTTGAAGAATGTATTAATTCAAGAAGGACATTTATAAACAATTCTCTCTGTCTCTTTCAAGGCTATCATGCCCATTTAGATGTATTAAATAATAATGTCACTTTTGCAAATATTCTCAGATTTCTGCAAAACAGTCTAGCATACTTTTGGGCAACTAACTGTAATTTTCTCTCTCTCTCTCTCTCTCTCTCTCTCTCTCTCTCTCTCCCCCTCCACAATGCACACCATGAATACAAACCTCTGAAAAATTAGTCCTTTGCTAATTGGATCTAGTTGGTATGGAAAAAGCCAGTGGAAACCCTTATCTTTAACAAGCTCCCAGATGGTGCCCAGATTTGGAAACTCTAAAGAGCAGTGGTGACCTTTTAGCCAAGCTTCTGTAACAGTTCGAATGAGTTACAGAACATTCCACTCCATCAAATGACACTGTAAACAAATCACTTCAAGAGAGGTTTGGCTTTGTGTGACACAGATGGACCCAAGCTTTCATGCTGTGCACTGAGATAGAAACTCAAACTGCACGCCAGTGTCGATGGAGCAACACACCCTGGTGATCAGAGCTCATCCAAGAAAAAAGGTGATCAGCATGGAAAGCTTTTCATAAATAACAACCCTTTGTGAGTACAATCAGTTTAAGGGTGAATTCCAGTGATAAAATTATTTTTATACAATTGAAAACTAAAGGAATACAGTTAGCACAGGAGGAAAAGAAATGAATTGCCCCCTTCAATGTCTGACTTTGATAACAAGATAGCAACTCTCCTCAACTAGTGCAGCTTTACTGGTGCAAAGAAAGTAAATGTCATACGAATGTCCAGAGAAAGGAAGGCATGTAGTTCTTTTCTCATTATTATATGCACTTAAATGAAATGTTACTGCCTAATTGTTGAAAATGCATTAATATCTCTTCTATAGGGGAAACAGGGCAGCAAGACATGTGAGCCTTCCCCAACATACAGCAAGCAATAAACATTTCTCATCTTTTCTACATTTGTCTGTGATCTTCACACACATACACACACACACACACACACAAACACACACACACACACTTTGAGTTTTAAGCCACTAGATGCACAAGTGCCTTCCTAAGCAGGAATGTCTACTCTTCCACTTTCGTGCAAGAACTTGAATCTAATTCATCATGGGGAGCATGTTACTTACCCAGCTGCCATGTGGAGCAGGGAGGAGGTTAGTTCTTTTCTGTCAAGATCCAAGATCCGTGAGGAAATATTTTCTATTTCTGTGCCCAAGAGACCTATTTCTATTAGAGAGTCTGCACTGGAGATACCACCCCCATATGAGAACAGCTACAATCCAAGTGGAATGCTTCCCAAGTACATTAAGAGAGACCCTGGTTCCATAGAGCTTGCATCAGAAGAGTATAAGTCATATAAGAATGAGCTTTGTTAAGAGGGTAATTGTGAAGAATGAGAATTTTTCTATTTTTACAAATAAAAATCCTTTACTGCTAGGTTGATAAGACCATGATTTCAATTCAATATGGATACAGTCTTAATATCAGAGCTTAGTCAGTTGATAGAGAATTTCTCTACCAGAAGTATAATGTTACATGTCCCCAGCCACATAGTCACACACACACACACACACATACACAACACACACATTGTTTACAGAGGAAGTGTGTAAAGATTAACGATAAGAATCTGATTGGATGAGAGAGAGATGGAAGATGTTCTAGAAAGCAACCTTCAGGGATGAAAAAGATAAAGGCTCTGATCGGTATTTGTAGAGATGATACATCTGCATAAGAAAATGGCATAGATTCATTCCTAATCTTCATTTGGAATGAAGGTGCCACAGATGTTTAGCTGTGTTACTCTTTAGTATGTTTGGTTTGTCTAAGACTACAAGCTTCAGAATTTATTAGGAACCTTGTTAACATGCAGATCCCTGGGCCCCATATCACACCTCCATTCAATCAAACCATAGTGGTGCCCAGCAAAGTACAACTTAAAAAGCTTTGTAAGGTAATTCTAATATATTCCAGAATTTGAGAATCATTATTGGAGCTCTTGGTGGATCCATTGGCTCTAATAACATAGCAGAAATCTTCTTTTAATTTTCTGCTGATGTTTTAGGGTGCTAATACTGCTAAAGTGAAATAAATTTATTCTATGGGCACCCTTCTCCCTTCAATGGGATATTTCTTTCCCATTTTCTTCAACTCCCTTCTCTCTGAAGAATGGGCCAACCCAATAACTAAAGAATAATCTCCCATACATTTGATGAAAATGCCTTTCCAGGTCTCTTCTGCATCATTCCTTCCGAGATGCTTCTTTTGCTTTGTATCACCTTATGCTTTTCAATATGCTGTCTTTTTTCTCTTTTCTCTTCCTACTTCTAGAAAAAAAAACTTCAACCTTTGATTATTTGTTCTAGCAATAACTCCTCAGTAGGGTGAAATTCTTAACAGTTCTGCAGAATACAGTGTTTTTCTTCAGAAACAGCAAATATATATAAATGGCTTACTCTGGTTAAAAGAGCTAAGTTCAGATGATGAAACCTAGACATATATATATATAAACATATATATTTATATATATATACTGTGATTTATAATAATAATAATTTTAATAAAACATCATCTCATTAATCCTTTGCATGTTTTCTTTGTCTGAAACAGTGAGAATAACATATTTGAAGTCTGTTCTCCCAGAATGCTCTACCCAGCTGTATAGTGCTTAAGAAACTAAGAGATTGCACTATACCTTAATATTTCTGGCCAACTGTTGTGGAACATAATTTTACAGCATTGTTAGGTTACAGCGTGTAGTATGCGGGTATGTGTAGGTGATGTGTATGCCTCACTGAGACATTTGGGATGTCAAGTTCGCTTTATTCTGCTTGTGGAACATTCGTTCATTTCTTTAAGAAACAAATCACCAAAACTGACAATATAAAAAAAAAAAATCCAGGACTTTGTGTTGAATTAGGATAGATTACCCTGGGGAACAAAAAAAGAAGACTGAAATAAAGATTTGCATTTAGTAATTTCACTGGAGAAAATTGGTAGGGTTGGCTGAGGCTGGCTTACACTTTCATGAGAACCAGTTATGTTCATTTCTTTCCGCCTCATTCAGTGATGTCACAGTGGTGCCTTGAAATTAGCCACAGTGCAAGTATTTACACCATAGAAATTGGCAGCCTCTACAAATCAGAGATCTGGAGATGTAGCTTTTAAAAATTTACCAGCATACCACTGAGGCCACACACAGCAGTACAATACCTAGGTTACACAAGCGGAACAGGACCAGGCCTCATCAGTTCCATGGGGAAATGTGAAACCATGTTGGTCCTTTAGATTATCTCACTTTGAGGAAAGGAAGCCAGACCATCACCATCCAGACATTGGATATAAGCTCCTATGTAGAGGTACAGGCCAGGGCATCACCTCAAGCAAGATAACTGTGTTCAGCTGAAGACAATTTCTGATGAGAGACTCAGCTGTGATCAGTTACTTAAGAATTTATTTCTAAAACAGCCACTTAAATTTTTATAATGGGAAATTTGAAATATACAGAAAACATGATAACGTAATGAGCGCACATGCACTTACCACTCAGCTTCAAACATTATCAATTCAGGCCCAGGCTTCTCATTGATTACCTCATCCACCTCACTCTCCTACCAGACTACCTTAAAGTGAACCCCAGAAATAATCTCACTTTATGAGTAAATATTTCACCCAGTTCTAAGAGGTATGATGTCTTAATTTGTTCCACCTCTCAACCTCATTAAAATACATCTTCAGAAATGCATCAAAATGAATCAAAGGTAAACCTTTACTTTCTCTATGTTATAGCCTGTATGTGAATTCCCTGGATCAAAACTAGGATTTATTTCTAAAGTAAGTAGGTGGTGTGTGTTGAAAGATAGGAATGCAATCAGTTTTACACACAAACCACGTGCCAGACACCACATTAAAAACTCCAACATACACTATCTTCTTAGTACTGTTGTAGAGACTAATAATGGATTTCTTGGAAGGCAACAGTATTCAAGTTGTAAAGGGATTAGCAGAGTATAAAAGGACCTCTAACACTCTGATGGTACATTGTTCTTTCATGGAATACTTATACCCTTCCTTATCAAATCAAAATCTTTCTTAAAGGGTTATTTCGGCTAAACTTTATATACCAGCAGGACTAATGCAATGAAGAACAAGAGAACAAGTCAAACCAGTTTCCATGTTTAGAAAAGGTTGCTGCCTATACCAGTTAAGGTTTAAGGTAGGACTTGTTATTCTAATTAATCTTGCATCCTTCATCCAAAGGAGAGGCTGAAATGTGACATCTGCATGTCAACTGCTCTGAGAACTTTTCATAGACATGAATCAATAAAATATCTAACAACTGAAGGTTAGAACAGAAGCGAGAGCAAAAGAAGGATTTTTTTTTTTTTTTTTTTTTTTTTTTTAGCTGCAGCATGAAACAGTGGTCCCTTTTATTCAGGCCAGATGCTAATTTTTATATCAAAAATATTGATTGAAAGGACTAGTGACTTTGGCTCTCACTCAAGTTTATTCAGGATCTTTCTTAATTAGGTTTGGGTCGGCTGCAGTGCCCATGGCCAAGGGTAGGTCTGGCTCTAATCACCACATCATGCTCTCTACTTCATCATGGGCCAAAGACTAAGGCAAGGAAATTGCAGCTACTTTGTTTCTCCAGCCCTTAAATTTGCTTTTTCCAGATTTGAAGTATGCATGGAGCAAATGTGTAAGGAAGACCAAAAGAAATGTAATGGCTTCACTGTGATGAGATCAATCTACCCTACAACTTGACTGTGATCCCCAGAATGAATAAAGCTCTGTGTGTGAAAAATGGATGAGTAGCAATGTGAGGTCATGGAAAAAGATCTTGGCATCTTTTAAATGAAAACTTTTCAACAGACTGATGCAGTCAATCAGTCTATGAGATTTTTTGAAAGGGTAAAATAATCTCTTTTGCAACAATACATGATTTCCCCATAGCTTGTCTATTTTGTAAATACGGTTGTCGTGCAGCTATGTTTATAGTGTCCAGACTAATTTTATATAATTTACACAAGTCCTTTAAAAACTTCTCACACACACTAAACTTCTATAAATCATAGTCACAGATTAGACACCTATAGCAAAATGGATTTTCCATTATATATTAAATAGTAGGTTGTTAAAAATATATATGATTCAGGTCCCCTGAAACATTTCCAACAAATAGCTATGAAGAGTTTTTAAACTCTAAAAAAATTCTGAATTACAACTTCAAAGTGTAATTTGTAAGAGATTTTATTAATAAGACAACCTTCAGTGGAGCCAATTAAAAACTAAAGATTTCCTATATCGATAATCATAAAACTCCTATATGTAATCAATGTTATAACAGATTATATAGAAAAATTAAATTGTTTTATTGAAGTGGGACCATATCTAAGATGAAAACTCATTTGAAAATTGCATTGATTTTTATTATATATTTATTATTTATAAAGCCAAGTAGAAAAAAAATGACATTTCCATTACTCATGCTAGCCCTTCAGTGTGAACAAGGATAGAAAAACATAGATTATCATATATTTAAGGAAAGGAGAAACACTAAAATGGAAAAAAAATGAAACACCAAAATGAAAAAAAAAAGAAAGCTTTTACTACAAGAAACAGATAATTTACAGAAAAGAGAACTTCTGAAATGTTCTAATTATGAATCCTGCTGTAGGCCAATCTGGTTGCATTATGTGAAGGTAAATCTACAAAACAAGAACAGGCTGGTACAAAAACACACCCGGAGTCCACACAAAAGCTTAAAATTAAAATGATTGATGAAAATAAATTAATAGAAAATAAATGAGAAACATTTTTTAATCTCAAATATGAAGCAAAGGACAAAAAAAATCAAAAACATGAGCAAAAAGTAAAAAGATACAGATAGGCCATACAGAAAGGCATATATATCCATTCAATAAAAAGTCAACAAAGAATTGGAAATTTTTAAGACTTAAAAAATCAAGGAAATAATAATTTTTTAAAAAACATGTCCCTGGGGGCTGAAAGAAAACAAAAGATGAAGATGGGCTGGTAAGGGCTGGTAAGGGTTAAGATGATGAATTAAAAAAGATTCTCATCCAAACACATCCTAAGGAAATTTTACTACCCCAAGAATGAAGAGAAGAACCAAAAAGTTTCCTGCTCAACAAAAACAGTCTTACTTTAAAAGGTAAAAGCAACTAATTTGAAGTATAGAATATTATAAATAATATATTGTCCAGAAAATTCAATCTTTCACCCATTAACACTGAAAAAAAAATGTTTATTTCCTCACTCTCCACCATTGCTAAACATAATCATTTTTATAATATTTAGTACTCTTACAGAGAAAAACAGGTTCTTTCTAATGTCAAATGCCCACTAATAGATTTTTTCATAGGTATCTTGGCTGCCTGTCTCTGTGTTTTTCACATCTCCAATTTGTAACTGCTGGAGCCCTTTCTGTTTTGAAGGTCTCATCCACAATGATGCTGAATACTATAGAACAATGAAGTGATGCCTGGGAATCCAAAGGGGAAACAGTTTCAATCTAAAATTCCATATCTAGAAAAAACCTATCTAATTAAGGAGAGCAAGATAAGAATTTTTTACAGAAATTTAATATCCTCAATAAGCTTTCTTTAAATAATTTTGTGACAAATACTCTAATGAATGTTTCCCCCAAAATTGAAAGATATAGTATCCAGGAAAGAATGAAATTCATCTAGGAATACAACAAAAAGAAGTCACAGCATGATCGTGTATAATTAAGACAGGTTAAACTATTGTGACAAAAGACAATGGGTTATTTTTTGCTCCAAATGGAAGTCTAAATTAGTATCTCTAATGGGCAGGCACCCACTCCATATGGTGTTTCAAGGATTCACATCTCAACTGTTTTCCAACCACCCCTATAACTTTATCATTCCCTATACTGTTGAGGGTCCAGAATTCAGCCTGTGGAAAAGGAAAGTGGGCACACAAGGCCATCCTCTCATCCTTCGCTGATGACTGACTTAGCTCTGAGTCTCGGGACACATTTGAGAGGCTCATCAGCCCCGACGCCATGTTCTAAGGGAGTATCCAGAGATGTACGGGGAGAATCACTACAGATACTGCTCTGATTCCTTAGCTCCTAGAGATCCAGTCCTCCTCTCACGGCACTGGCTCCAATACGTGCTTCATTCGCTTACCTCGGCGGATAACATTTTATAAGCTCCGTCGTGGAAACCAAAGACAACCCACACCAAGCTGATCAGCAGACTAGACCAGTCGCTTCTCATCCTATCTGTGCTTCTCTCTGCCTATGGGTGCAGTCACCTAGCTCCTCTGAAATTATAGGCATATTCCTGTTCATAGAGCTGTCAGATAGGAGTGCTCTCCCCTGAGGTACCTGTGGAAAGGCTGAGATGGGATGGAAGATGGGTGTGGTGCC